ACTTTGTACATGGACAAGTTTAGCGTCTTTTCCCATATCTTGGCCTAAGGGTAATAATGTGATGTAACCAAGTTAACAGTTTCCTAGTTCTGCCTTTGTCATCGTCAGCCTCAGCTCTTATGTGTCTGCTCGATCCCTGCTGTGCTTCACTGTAAGTGCTCTCATAAATAAGAGCTAAATGCGATATGATGTTCTCCCACTGAGTTCCCATAAGCTCCCTGTCCAATGGAAAAGCAGCAGTATCGCTGAAATGCCTGTGGGGCGCACAGCCTCCTTTGTCGGGTCGCTTCCCAACAACAGAAGTATCTATATGAACAATTATAGATACCCCCCCATAGCCACTCTGCTCTTTGTTTGTGGTTATTTACACACTCATCTAGCCTGGGAAAACCCAGACAACTTCCGGCAAATTTAGATTTGCTCTGAAAGTTAGTCTGGCAAAGAGCTCATTCAAGCTCATTTCCAATCCGCCGAAATCGAGGCACCAATCAGAAAGGTTGGGGCGGGCTTTACACGATGACGACAGCGCTGGGATTTTGAAGCAGATTTTGTAGCCTACATTACAAAGATGGATGCCGCCGTCGAACATCACTCGTTCGAATCAGCTATCGCGTCTGTTTTAAGCGATTTGAACGTTTCCTTTTTGTTAAAAACCGAGCAAAGAACAACACTCGGAGATGTTTCTGCCGCTCTGCATACGTCATCTCCTTCATCGCTCTGATTGGGTTTAGGTCTATCCGCGACGTCCGTTGGTGACGCCCCTCTGGAAATGATTTGTCTATGACGCTTTGCCAGACCATAACTCAGTTACAACTGAGAATGGTCTGGTTTTAACCAGGCTAACACTCATCATGACTTGAGACTTGAATCACTGTTATGTAACATCAAAAAGTTATTTTATTTTAATCCAGAGAGGGCAAAAAGCTTGACCTGCTATTTTTTTGAGTGCAACTCCTCTTTTTGGGAACGGAATATATGTATTTTTTTACTGTAAGGGTTTGACCTATTTTCTTGTCATGACATGTCATGATTTTTGCTGCCATTTTTGTCTGGGTTGTAATAATATATTCGGCTACTAGAATAGCATTCAAAAAGTATGCATAAATATCTTCTCCACACAGGCCTACACTGAGTCTTGTGTGATATGGAGGAATAAAAATGGTTGTTATTGAATATATAAATCTCCACATATTATGAAAAAAGTGTAAAAGATCATGATGAGACCAAATAAGCTCTGCACATTGTACTTTGCTGTTTGGGCTTGTAGTGAAACATTGGCTACTGCAAATAACAGCAGCTGATGACATCTGATGGTTCTGCTCATCTTGCTATTTGTCAGTGTGTCAATTTTATTGTGAGACTTTTCAAAAAATATTTAGGCTAGTACATGGCTGTCTGGCTGGAATACTTCATTCTAATTGGTCAGTTTATGTATAATGACTGCTTATCTGTAACTGACCATTGTCTCGGGAGAGTTTGTGGAATAAATGTTTATTTCCATAAGTTGCACCTGACAGCATGGTGTCAAAATGACATTAAGAGAAAACAAACCCCAAAAGTCGCATTGATGTGTATAAGTCAAATTTTTTTTTATTTCATTCAGGAATGTAAAATACCGGTAAATAAAGCAAAACGTTTACAAACATTATAAACACTATAAACATGTATTTTAGTTCCCTCACTCCACAACACATCCTTAAAATTTAACAGTATTCAGACTCAGAACAGGAATGAAAAATTTATTTTAAAAAAAGTATAAAACAAACATATATTATAGTGGCATTTATTATAAATGCCAAGCCTAAACACATTTATTCTGCTGTCAAAATAAAAGTCCCACTTCTGACACTTATTGGTCAAACAGAATATATATATTTTTTTTTAAATGCCAAATATTGGCCGATATATCGATCAACCACTTGAATTTATGAACAATTTACATGTAAATTTGTTTTGCTTATGTCATGTTAATAAAGCCCAAGTATTGCCTTGGCAATAATGTATGTAATACAATCATGCCAATAAAATAACTTTGAAAAATATAATTCCACTGTAGATGTGTTTTTATTTCTCTCTGTCTAGATTGCTTTTGCTGTCCTTAAGCTGTGGCCCTATCCAACTGCCCAGTTTGCCTATATGTATGTGGCGTCCCCGCTACTATTGTTTTGGTCATAAGACGCACAGAACATAGTACATTTGTTACGCAATAACTCCCCGCAGACACCTATATGAACACTATATCTGTGTGTGTATATATGTTCAAGGTTTGACCCATTAATCATCAGCTCAGATCCATGTGCGTCTGTGACAACATAAAGAATCTGAGGAGTGTAAAAACCTTAATTTTCCTCGCTTGTCTTACAAACATCATTTTACAATAGGTAATTTATTGCTCTTTGAAAGTTCTTCCTTATTGTAAACTTTTCAAGAAGTGTTTCATTATGTCTTAAAGTGGGTGTGTCTTCAAGGCTGTGACTTGCCCATACATGCTTTCCTCAAGGAAACACCTTATTACAAAGGCTGGATAATAATGAGTAGTCCCATCAGAGGAATCACTTGAAGTTGGTTAATGTCCAAACCTAATTGAGGGTTTGAACACATACTGGCTAAGGTGCTAACAGTGTGCTAACATGAGCCTGCATGTGTACAGGTTCCCCTTACTCCTAAATCTAGTCAAGGTGACGCTCTCAAGTTACTCTGTGTGAACATTTGAAACGAGAGCGAGACAGAGTGCTGATAATGACAAGGCCCAGCTGTTGTTCATTTTCCAAAAAGTCATCGGACAGCTTTCTTTGGCGAGCAGATGCATAGTACAAGATTTTTGTCATGATTTTACCTCCCATGGGGGTGTGCGCTGGTTAAATTAGACGGGCAGGATTAGGAGGGATGAATATAGTGTATAATTGATCAGTTTGGCAAAGAAGAGCGTCAGTTGATATTCATGATATTCAGATACTGCTGTTGTCTGTGCGGTTTAGATTCATTTCCAAACATGGTGTGATTTTGATGCAGATTAGACTGCGTGAGTGTTGCAAGGAAGCATTAAAACTTCATAGAATAGAAATGTTGTGTGCTAGGACCCTATTAAAGCAGTCCCCCCCCCCCCCCAATTCCTTTTCCCATTTACATTTTTCTGTTTTTCTGTTTTTTTAAGGTAACTAAATCCAAAAAGCATGTCTTATCAATTTTAATAATTTGTAAAAATTGAAATGAAATGCATTTTTTAAATGACCTCATGAAATCTTTTATTTTTCTTCAAATCCCATTTAATTTCCCCCCAAATTCTAATTAGATTCAGTCTTTTGATTTGATACAAATGTATTATCAAAACTGTGGTAATCAAATTAATAAAAAAAAAAACATTAACACATTTTTTTAATTGTATTATACTGAATATGCAATAATTCCTTTACATCAAAACATTGCATTTTTAGTTTTTGTCAAATTAAGTGCTGCACAACAGAGGCCTACTGTATAAATTAAAACATGGATGAAAAAAATGGATTGTGTGATGATCCGTATGATTATTTTTATTCTTATTCTTATTACTCAGAGAAGTATATTTGACTATACAATCGTAATATATTTCTGTCATAATTTCTTTTATTCGTTTTGTTTTGGCGCTTTGGTAATTTGCCAATTTTTTTTTCATACAGTGAATTCTGTCATATCATGGAAATCATATGGCCCTAGTTATACATGTGCCTTTAAAATCAGTCTTGGGTTGTGTTGTGTGTTGCCACATATAATCTGTCTAATTATTAACTGCTTCAAGTTCATTCATACAGTTCATTTCTCATAGTGAAGCGTGAGGTAATAGTTAGCCAAGCAGAAATTAGTTCAGTGGAGTAGAACAAAACTTGAATTTAATCGAGTTCTTGAGTTTTCTCAGGCTCGCCTTGGTCTCTTACATCCACATTATCCACCTTACTTTTCAATGCGGATTGCGGAAGTAAGGTGTTTTCTGTGAATGTGTAAGTAGTAGCCGCTATAGGGTACGAGAAGATTAGGCCTATATCAGTGCAGTAAACGGTAAAACCAGCGTGTTTACAATGAAGACAATATATTATGTTAAGAAATAGGCTATATTTGTTAATCAAGCAGCATAACAAACTGTTGTACAGCTTGTCTTTTTTTTTCTTCATTTTCCATCCTTCTCATTCTATGTGGCCAAAAATAAAATTAATAAATGTAAATTATAATTGCTATTACAGTGAAGGATGCTGTATGTATTTATAAGTGTCATGCACAGGCCTGTGTTGTTAGACAGTCAGCACACTAAAAACCAAATCAACATTCCACGATTATATCATAGTTCAGTGTCTGCGATCCTGACACCTTTTTAAAACACACCCAAAAGTGTTACTGTTGGACTTGAAATACCCTTCTGTGAGCAGTTTCTGTTTTATTACACTGGCCAATTTTGTGAGCACTGTGATAGGGTTTATAGCTCTTTAGCCTATTTATTTGTTGTGTGGACCCAAAGCAGTCTAACCGAATAATCTGAAAATCTATGGTTGTGCACATCATCTAATCTGAACAAAAATTCCTCAAATTCCTATTCCCTTGACTGAAATCATAACATAATGGTAATCCATGCCATTCAGACTCTATTTCTCAACTAAGCTTGGACAGCGTTAGGCAACGTCAGACTGTAATACCGTGAAAATGATTGGACAAATTTCAGTTTATTTTCAGTGGTAAATGCCAGTATGTTTGGGTGAAACCGGTTTTATGAGAGCTCTGATGTAATTGGCTTTAGTCAGAATAACTTTCACTGTGCTGGAGGATTTACTCTAATCAGAATAAACAATGGAAAGAGGTGTAATCTTGCATCTCAACCATGCAAATTTCTTCATTGCTATGAAAGGTAGAGATGTCATCATGAGCTCCTATGACCTTAGTAGATTAAGAGTTTTTATATCACATGTAGGTCATGTACAACTCATCAACTCCTTTCCACTTTTGTGAATCTTACGTTTTTACTCTGTGTGTTGCAGGCACTCTTGTCGTCATGTTTATTGTTCAGAAGAGATCTCCTCTGGCCCAGGACTCCCTGCACAGGATGACAGCCGTTACACAACGGAGGAACCAGGGACTGATGAAAAGGTGACAAAAAACAATGACTCTACACAGTTACCAACTAAATACCTCAACAACTTGCAAGCACTTGAACTCTTCTCCTATTAAGTCGTGAGTGTGCGTCTTTAACACCATTGAGATTTAACTCTGTATTGTGAAATGGGATCACATACATTTCACCTCTAGAGAGGGGAGTTTGATTGGCTGTTGTGTAAATAGTCCCTGAAGTTGTGCAATAGCTCCTCATTCAGAGTGTTGTTGACATTTGTCTTTCAACAGGCTAATCTATAAAGCCACTTACCGACAGGGGCCCCAACAAAGACCCCCCTCCTCTCTAACCTATTGATTTAAGGCTGTATAGAGGTGTGGAGTCATCTGGTTGTCCAATATTTCTTAGTGAGACTGGCTGATTAGGTCCACTTTAGCTGTTGTTAGTATGCAGTCATTAAAGTTAAAGCAATTCAATCTTCAACTAAAGTGTGAATCTGTAAACTTGCCCTGTTTGCACTTAAACACTCCCTGGCAGTCACAAAAGTGTTTTCTCTTTTCTCCCACTAAACTTGAATGGTAGAAAAACATAGCCATAGAAAAAAAAACATCTCTTCCACCCTCATCGAAATAAAACCAGTTCTGCCAACTCACCCGTTGTTGAAGGAATAGTAAAAAGTCACTCATCAATTCATCACTCATGTCATTTACTCAACCTCATGTCTTTCCAAATACCGCTGATGAGCACAGACAGATTTTTGGCAGAATTATCACGTTGCTCACAATGAAACAACAAAAAAACACGTGACCATGGTCTGTCACACTCCAAAACGGACAAAAGATGGAATAGTTTGTGAGAAACTGACCTTTTCACTTAAGTCATATGTTTTCCTCTTTTAGGTTGAGGAGGAAAGGGCGACACACACTCAGTCATCGCACAGCGTGGGCCTGGAGACCGAGACTGCTGCACTAAAGGAAACTCCATTGCACTCACAAGACACCCCACACGAAGAGAAGCACAAACAGGTGCCCGTGCAATCCAACCGCCATATCGGTTTTCTTCTATTACATATCTCATCCTAACCCCCAACCTTTGTGACCCACACATGCGACTCAAGGGATAGGACACACAAAATCCTATATTTGTTTCGCTTTATTTTTTCGGTCACACTTTAGATTAGGGTCAAATTCACACTATAAACTAACCATTAACTATGACTTTTGCCTAAAAAAACTCCCAATTACTGCTTTTTAATAGTTAGTAAGGTAGTTCTTAAGTTTAGGTATTGAGAGATGTAGAATATGGTCATGCAGAATAAGGCATTAATATGTGATTTATAAGTACAAATAAACAGCCAATATTCTAGTAATATGCATGCTAATAAGCAACTAGTTAATAGTGAGAATTGGACCCTAAACTAAAGTGTTAACTTTTTTTCTTTGACTTTAAAGGTTTATGGCTTTTATGCCAAAAATATTTGAGTTATGAGTTACCATTAAATACAGTGCTTGTCCACTTTTGGTTTCCATTCATTTTGTGTGTCATTCAAGTGTTATAAGCCATGAACCAAACCAACCAGCCACAAGGTAAATCGCAACATTAGAAACTTTGATTTGAAAAGAATGTGAAAATTCAACAAGAAAACAAAGTTACAAGACTGTGTATTAACAGCTTCAATGAGGGAAATAACTACAATCTTGTGAAGGGTTGCAAATGACAATTAAACTATGGAGAAATCTAACAGTTTATGTTATAAGTTAAAAATCAATTCCCTCATGGGACAAATGAATGGGATTTTTACTTCCAGAACTGTTGCACTCTATTGCTGTGATCCTCCAGCTCATGTCTGCAACCAAATCATAGTCATGATGTTTTTCACCAAGACAGCCTTTTTCTGTTGCTGAATTGTTACTCTGTTAATCTGTGATTCTGTCCTTGTAGACTGTGAATTTAGAAGAAGTGTTGGAGGATGAGCAGATTCCGCTTGATTCTGCTCTCCCTGAGCTAGAACAACAACAACAACAACAACAACAACAGCAGCAGCAACCAGAACCCCAGAACACCCAACAACAAGACCAACAACAGTCAGCTCAACCACCAACACTTACACAGTCCCAAACAGCACCGCCTCTATCCCAGACCCAGCCAGACCCTGAAACTCCACAGGCCACTGAAACAGAGGACCAGGCTGCCCACGCCTCCGCTGCTTTGACCCCTCCACAGACTGACCCACTCGGAGAAGACCCCTCTGCACCTGCTGCTGAACTCCAGAAGAGCCCAGAGCCAGCCTCACCTACCTCAGTCTCCTCCTCCGAGAGCCCCTCCAGGTGAGTACAGACAGCAGTTTGGGAGAGGAGAGGGTGGGAACGTTGAATGATTGTCTTATCATTCATTTCACCATTTATTTTCTATATTCACCTTTCTTTTGATTTTGTTTTCTTATTGTTTCATTGTGACACCATTTCTGCACCCAGACTTTTAAATTGAATCAGCCGAGCACACAGTCATCACTTTATGGACTTCATGTCGCACCTTCTTTGGAACTGCACCGGTTTTTTAAAATTGCATCATAGTGTATCTCTCCTTCTTTACTAGAGCTCTATGGCTTTGGGTTTTTTTTTTTTTTTTTTTTTTTTTTTTGGACTTGGAGCATTTATGAATCTTCCATTTCAACAAGGACCCAAAAAAGACAATATCGGTGTGCACTTAGCTAGATGGGCCTTTAAAATGTAATAAACCAGTAAGACAAAAACCGTCCACAGAACAAAATGAACCATGCTTCAATCCGTACCTGGATCCAGCCAGATTTCTTTCTCTCTCTTATTCTTTCTAGCCCCTCTCTCTCCATTAGTTTCCTTCCCATTCCTCCCTATTTCCCTTCTTTTGGTAAACGGCATATGATTTCTTTCCTTCAGTGGACTAGACGTTCCGCATCCTGATGCCCCTGTAGAGAACTCTAGTGCCAGTCAGTGTGAGGTGGGCTCTGTGCCCCCCTTCAGTCAACCCCTTGACGCAACACTCACCAGGTGAGTACAGAGCGACAGGTAAACGACAGGTAACAAAGCAGGTTACATGGTGACATTACGGTAACTACAGAACTCGCGTTACATTAGGTGACTTGGTAACTGATGGTTAACCAAGTAACGGAGCTTCTTCAGGCACATCAAGGCTCGTCATCCTGCCTTGCTCTTTTTTTTTTACTTCTCATTTCATTTTTTTTCTCCCCCGAATGCCATGATACACCATTTTAATTCCTGTTTAACTTGTCATTTGAGTGAACAAACATTTATTTATTTTTTTATATTTTTTATATATACCGACCTATTAATGTATCTTCATATCCCCACCCTTTCCTCTCTTTACTTGCTCAATAGTGTTGTGGAGGAACATGCAGATAACCAGTCCACCACTTTGGGACAGAGTACAGAGACCAGTGCTGACCCGACTGCCTCTCTGGTCCCGAGTGAGCTGGACCTCACAGAGCCGGGGCAGACAGACAGTATTCTTCCACCTACAGAAAGCCAGCAGGTACACACACAAACACACTACAAGCACATTTGTCAGACTAATCTCACAGTGCTAAGTAATTGCAAAAATGGGAGTGAATAAATCAAATACCTACAAGACTAAAACTCCCTTACACACGATAAAATCACTTTAACGCATATGAATAATGGTGTAATGCTTTTATAAAACATAAGCAATAGAGCTAATAGAATAGACACAAATGTTCAATAAACAATTAAATGTATTATTTATTATACCGTAATCAAAATACCAATTTGTCTTCAATATAGTACTGTTTGCAGTTGCTAATCAACTTTTGCATTTTAAAATGTAACTTTAAAATGCACTACCGCTCAAAAGTTTTTGAGACAGTATTTTTGCAGAAACTGGTTCTTTTTTTTTTTTTAGGATTCTTTGAATAGAAAGTTCAAAAGAACAGCTTATTTAAAATGGAAATCTTTTGTAACCGTATAAATGTCTTTAAATGTTTTACCATGTTTCTTAGATATGTATTATAGTCACTTCATAGTGGCTTTGCAGATTATCTATTCAGAGTTGTTTTTTCTATAATGACGTAGTCTGGTAGATTTCAGGTATGGAGCTAGAAGGTATAGTGTGTTTTTTAAAAGCATTTTAAGCCCTTATACATTTTCCTAGTTTTGTTTTCCTTGCGCTTACGCCGCCTTAAAGAACATGATGACAATACTCGCTACATTTTGCACCCCGCAGTGTTCCTCTCCCTACCTTTTACCCCATTATGTAGATAGTGAATGGGTTTGCATTTGGTTACCATTGAGCCGGTCCACACCCTGCTGTTAACGATCTGTAGAGCTAAAACATTCCCTCCTCTCTCGTGAAGCTGCTCTGACACTTGCACCCTAAATGGAGAGAATGAAAGGGGAAGAGAAAGGTAGAAGAGCGGGAGTAGGCTGAGAGAGGTGGGATTGGGTACATCAGCATGTTTGTTTTCTACAGGACCGACAACCTTGTAAATGTTTAATCAACCAAACGCACACTCAGCGCTGCTGTTTAGGCACTGACAGAGAGAGACATAGAGATAAGGGGAAATAAGGGGACAAGAAAAAGGGAAAGTGATGGGGAGACAGAAGGAAAGACCACCTTAAAAAAGGAAGGATTTTGCAGACGTTTTGAATTTGTCACACAGAACTGTTGTTTCATGCAGCACTTGCATAATATAGTCATTCATGCCAAGTGCTCATTGAACCCCAGTGTAAATTAGAAATTGGTTGAGAGAGGATGATCATATTTTTGACACTTCACTGTATTGGGCAACAGTTATCGTTTTTTTTCTTTTTTTCTCAGTGGTCAGAGATAAAAGTGCATAAAGCCATTTAGACCTTATATGTAGTGTGTGTGTGTGTGTGTGTGTGTGTGTGTGTGTGTGTGTGTAAGAAAGAAGTCTGACCAAAGCTGCATTTATTTGATCAAAAATACATTAAAAGCAGTAATATTGGAAAATATTACAATTTAGACCATTTTCTATTTTAATATATCTTAAAATCAAATGTCTTCCTGTGAAAAGCAGTATTAGAATATATTATAATATTAGAAATGTTTCATATACAGTTATATGGATTCTGGACCACTACCAATTTCACATTGGCTGTATCTACCCAGCATAATGCATCTGAAATACAAAACAAGTAATTAACAAATTGCAAATTAGCATTTTACAGGATTAGGACTAAGGAAGGCTGAGTTGTCACTCTAATAGAGGTTTGTTTTTTGGCAGGTGGTGGACCATGAAGGAGGTACAGACCCTCCGGTGCCCAGTAAAGAAGACATCCCCACCTTCGATGAGTGGAAGAAGAAAGTGATGGAAGTAGAGGAGAAGAAAAGTAAGAGATGGCATTGAGTTCATCAGAGAATCGTTGCATGCGAGGCTGTCTCCGTGTTTCTTCTGCATCAGTGCACACTCACACGCACTTCCAATAGGACCCACTTCTGCTTGGTTTCACAGAGAAGTCCCTCTCTTTTCATCATGAATTTAATTCTTTTGTCCTTTTTTTTTTTTTTTGCTCCTATAATAATATTGTTCTGCAAATGCTCATATTTGTCAGTTCAGTGGAAACCGCGTGCACAGTGAATGTTGCGTAACCCAGTATGCACATGTATAAGCTGCTGTAATGGATTGCTTCAGTACACCGCAAAACAACAGTAACAAAACTTGATGTTCATGCTCACAGCCATCTGAGCAGTTTAACCCTTGCTTTAGAGAATCTGGGTTTTCCCAGCTGATTCAGAAAGCAAAGTTAACAAAATAACAGCCACTAGCTTAACAGTATTTTAATTGACCCTTATCATCATTGCTTAGCGGATGCAGTGCAGCCAATGCAACTAGAGAGCTCTCAAAGAGAACTCTCTCCAGGTCCATAGAAGTCGAGTTCAAGCGAGGCTTATGCGGCCGGCATAAATCACACAACTGAAATTCAGTCAGTTTCCTTAATACTGTGGGTCTGGATTGGGGCTGCTTGACCTACTACAATCTCAAAACAAATTTGTTAAATCATATTTGGAAAATGTAATTATTGTCTCTGCTTTCAGTCAGTGGGGTCCACAGCTACAAAGACACATTTAGGTTGCATTTTCAGGTTGTTTTTGCAAGTTGTAATCAGCACAATGTTAATGAATAGCTTCTTTTCCTAAAGGTCGTCACCTTTAGGCTGTGACAGAGGTTATTGGTAGTTAAAATCCAACAAATTTGCCGTTCAGATTGGTTATCTGTTAAAGATAGTTAATGCGTACATGCATGCTATGCATACATCAAGATAAGTCGTTCTTTTGTTTTCTGACAGTAATTGACAGGTAAACATACCCACCTGAACTTAGCATGAAAACACTCATACAGAGCCAACCTGATCCATGGGATAAAGCATTTGACAGATGACCTGTATGTAACCTGTTTTGTTGGTTTCAGGTCAGTCTCTGCACACTTCATCAAATGGAAGCCCTCATCCAGTCAAAAAGGTTCAAAAGAATTTCAAGAATAACTACGCTTCTGTCGAATGTGGGGCCAAAATCCTCTCGGCGAACAATGAGGCCAAGGTACAGCACAAGAGGCAGCAAAACAGCATAAGGGGCAGATAGACAGATGGATTGATTTAAATAGGGCAATCATTTAATATCTTGTCGTTGTTGTTCCTGCATCTGGAATGTTATTGATCTGCTCTAGATCAGCAATTGTCTTACATATGTGTGTCTTTGTGTATTGTGTTTTCAGAGCACATCTGCTATCCTGATGGAGAATATGGATCTGTACATGCTGAACCCCTGCAGTACCAAGATCTGGTGAGTCACTGCAGATAAAGAGAGAAACCGACTGCAGCAGCTGCTCAGAGGCAATGAAGAATTCTGTTTTAAAGTGGCTTTTTTCCTATTTGTGTAAAACATAAAATGCTATTAGGATGTTGACATGTCCCGTGGTGAGAGATGTACTCTAATCTCCATCTGTTTTAAACAGCATTTTGCTAATGATTCTATTTTTAGGATTACATTAATTGAATTAATTAGATGCGTGCTGTATAATTAATCATATTTTAATTTGTTTATGATTAAGTCTCTTGATTAAGCATAATCTATTTGCCCATATATATTTTTTCCATTTGACATATACGTTAACTTTGTAACAAGCCTCCAGGGTTCATGATTGGGGTTGCCAGATGTCATGAGCTTAAAATCCCTCTTTTCTCTGAAATGGATATATTTTCTCCCAAGTGTTTTACTTAATCTTACAAACCTGGCATCTCTCTGCACTGCAAATAAAGCGCTAATTATCTGAAAACGGCGATTTTGAGTTGAGCATCTGTAGTGATCTCCATTTAGATAAACTAATGCAGCTAGTCAGTGTTCCTTCATGTGGCCACTTGTGCTGTTTATTGTGACTAAATCTGCAAGCAAACCTTCTTAGTGGTAAACTGTAATCCAAACATGAATCTCGACTATATTCTTGCTATTGTGGTTGCTGAATAAATGCACTTATGCAACATATTTGCTTCAATAGAAAGTCTTTTTTGTTGTTTAAATAGAAAAACGTTCAAATAATTTGGAATTACTGTAATTAATATTTGGAATTTCACTGATTTAGCTTTTGAGAGAAGCTTCTTGTTTCACCAGTTTTCATAATGTGTAATAAAATAAACCCCTATGTATTTTCTTGATTTTTGCTTACATGAAAGTGCAAATAGATAAATAAATTCTGATTAAATGTAAAAAAGAAATGTCTCAAATCAGAACAAATGTGATTTAATAATTGCAATTTATAATTTGAGTCAAATAATTGTGATTATCAGTTTAACTATTACCGGCGTGCACCCTTAATTGGATGTAATATTAGTACCAGAAAGTTAATTTGTTGCAATGTAAGAACATCTAAAAGGAACTAGTTTCAGCAAAAGAGGTGATTTAAAAACCTTGAAAAATAAATGATCAGACATGGAACTTAAAATATACATTAAATATAAAATATACAAATTTACATATATCAAATATATAACAAATTTATATATTGTAGCTGTCAAACCGATTAATCTCGTCTCGTTCTTGTGAACCCAGTCTCGTCTCGTGAGATAAGCGTCTCGTCACACACACATATATAAAACATTTATGTTAGATGCGATTAAACGATTTGACAGCATTAATATATACAAGTTGATATATTTATTTGTGCACTCAGATTTTCCCCCTTGTTTCCTCTTTCAATCTCCCAATGCAGGTTTGTAATTGAGCTCTGTGAGCCAATCCAAGTGAAGCAGCTGGACATAGCAAACTTTGAGCTGTTCTCATCTACGCCGAAAGATTTCCTTGTGTCCATAAGTGACAGGTAACATCACTGACACAGACATGCGTAGTATTCAGATTCCTAACAGGCACAATCTGATGCGTGGACTGATCTCTCCATTGTGGATGTGAGTTTTTATTCTGGTAAACCGCAGCACATTTCTTTAATTACAGTGATATGTAATTTGTTTCAAATCCTGCCTCACATTAAACATTGAGTAATTTGTGGTTGGTTGTGATTTTTGTCACATCACATTTTCCCATTCCGTGTGGATGGACAAATTGCTTTGTTGCTGAAATCTTTTCACAATTTGCCTGGTTGGGAGACTGTATTACATAAACACCAACTTTTCAACTTTTCTTGACTTCAGGTATCCGACCAATAAGTGGATCAAGCTGGGCACCTTTCACGCCCGTGATGAACGCACAGTACAGAGCTTCCCTCTGGATGAGCAACTCTATGCCAAATATGTCAAGGTAAAAGGATGTGCTCAAATGAACCAATCTTCACAAAGCTACTTGATTGTAAAATTTCCTTGAAAGTGGAAATTCTAGGAGGGCGTGTTTCCTTATTTCTTCTGCTCGTTTTGTTGCAAGGCTCTGCACACAGTACACAGTACAGAGTCTGAGGTATCGTCACATTCCTGATAAATGTATCTAACTAGGTAGCACGTCTGCTTTTAGTTAGTTATTTCTAAACACTTAATGGGAAGGATTAGAAAAGTGAATCCTATTTTTCCACAAGTAACACATTTAAGATAAAAATTATGAAACTTTTTTAATAAATAGAATAAAGCATGAAGTCACAGATCTGTGCTCTGATGTGTCTATATACTGTAAAATTTGAATCATGAAGATCTTTAAATGGATCACACACATGATTGTTATTTCACCTATGATCTAAAGAACATGGAATTACATGAACAAAGTGTGTTTTTAAGGTGACTGAATAAGAGGCAGGGCAAGGGGGGACAGTTTAGTCATTTGAGAGAAGCCGTGCCCTTCCCTCAGGCTTTAGTCTCTGTACTGTACTGTACTGTACTGATCAAATATGGGTTGTTATACAATGCTGAATACACATTCATGACTTGATTTGCATTTAAGGTCGGTGTGTCTATGTCAGTGTATTAATACTTAAGAGCATGCTTAGATTTTCTTTGCTAAAAGGAAAAAGAAATGTGCAGATTCAGTTGGGGTAAACTGTGTGTGTGTGTGTGTGTGTGTGTGTGTGTGTGTGTGTGTGTGTGTGTGTGTGTGTGTGGCGCATACAAAGTATTTAATTAAACAAAACTGGGGCACAGATTCATCATTTTTTTTTGCGTTTTTATCTTTTGAATGAACTCCAGGGTTCCTAACTGTGCCTCTTGCTTGGTGCTGTGCTTTGCTTTTTATTTTTATTTTCACTCAATCTGATTTGTGTGTTCTTGGATGATCATATAATTATCTGCTGTAACATGTCAAGAAGTACCACTGATCTAAGACTGAAATCCCATGATGCTTTGCCATTATTGAGCTGCCCTAAACCTGTTCTGTCATGCTCTGCTCGACTCCTGTGTAGTTTATTATTTGAATGTTTTCCTTTTTGTTTTCGTTTACTTGTTGTCCTCTGCTCTTTTTCCCACTTTGTGGTTCTAATTGCAGTCTTTCTCTCAGCCAGCCCTCTCTCCTGCCATTGGTACCGCTGCTCAAGTTATGAAAGCAGAACAAACAAGAACAGTTCAAAATGCTCGACTTGCTACAGCATGAATCAAGTCTTTTAAACTGATCTTCCTCTCTGTTTTTCTTTGTTTCCGCTCTCTCCTGTCTTCTCCTCCTGCATCAGATGTTCATCAAATACATCAAGGTTAGCATTCTTTTCTCTTAGATCCTGTCTGTGCTGCTTTGGGTGGCAGGACTCACATACAGTAATGCATGACAGTGACAATTCCTTACACACAAATACACATCTTTTCTCACACTTACAAGGGAAAAATCATGCTTTGCAAATTCTCTAGCACTTCATTTGTACTATATTTTGTTGGACGTTATTGGGGCATTGGACAATGTTAGATTCAGTTTGGTTTTGTTTCATGACCATGTTTGAGCGCGCTTGTCTTTTGTATATTTTTTGTAGGTTGAGCTGCTGTCCCATTTCGGCTCTGAACACTTCTGTCCGCTCAGCCTGATCAGGTGTGTTGAATTAATGTGAATTCATTCCAGTACTGTATATTGTGTATCATCTCGTGAGCTAAGTGTATCGTCACACCCCTAATAGAAAGTTTAAAGAACAGCATTTAAAGTGGACATCTTTTGTAATATTATAAATGTATTCAGTGTCACTTTTGATAAATTTAAAAAGTGTCTTTGCTAAATAAAAGTATTAATTTCATTCATACTACTTTTGAACAGTAGTATATGTACAACAGGCTTACAGCGTTTGCATACTTGCATATGTAAGTTTGTTTCTGATGTAATAAATCATGTGTGGGGAATTTTTTGTTATGTGTCATGATGTGACATTTTATTCTTTGTTTTGATAGAAAAATATTAAAACCTGCATATCAAATAGTTATACAAAAAAGATGTTTTCCTGGAGTTTTAAGATAGCGACTTGATGATAACAGTCAAACTATTTCTTTAACCAAAGCATCCTGCGCATCAGCGGTATTTTGTTTTGAGAAACAGGTCGATTCTGGTTTTACGAACCTGTACTTGCATTGGCCTTTAAATTTCATTGACTCTGAGAAAGGACGCATTGCTTTAAAAGGGTTTTAAAAGGCAAAGTTCTTGAGTTGAGTTAGATCTCTGTTCTGCTTCGGGCTCCTCTCAGGTCCGTTTGCATTGGCAGGAGATTTAATCTTGGTTGGAGGCCCATAAAGGGGCTGGTCTGGCTGCACTCTATGAGAGACATACTCTCCTAGAAAATGACTGTATATACTGTGAGAGGCAAGCAAAACTCTACGGCCAGATAGAAAGGAAAAATTAAAAGTCCTTTCTAAATGACCTCGTTCTGCACTTCTGAGTTCTGAGCTTAACTGAAGCTACTTTCTGATAATGGTGTTATTTTACAAGCCACATGAGACAGATCGTCATGTGGCAACCCTTGTGGGTGCGTACAAATCTACGGCATATAACTTTTATTCCAAACTCCTACTTCCCTATTTTCTGAGACTGGTCAATTCACTGAATATCTGTCTTTATTTTTCTTCCACTGGAATTACCTCCTCTGCATGTAGAATAGAACAGGCTATAAAACATGTCTTTAAAGACCCCCACTAACCTGGGCAAAGGGCAGAGTGATTACAGTCGTTTTTTTTAGAAGGCAGAGATAAGTTGTGCTGATGATCACAGTGGGCTTTACGTTAATATTTCTCGTTTTCAGGCCTGACTTTCTCTTATCTGTACTGAGGCTGTGTTCTATAAGATAATACAGAAACACTTTGTCATTTTTATAAAGTGTTTACGACTCCCGTTTTTATCCTATTTTTACTGGGGTTTTTTTTCATTTTTTTTTTCATTGTTAGACTTCCAAGTATCTGATCTTTGTGTTTCTTGTGTGTATATCAGGGTGTTTGGCACCAGTATGGTGGAAGAGTATGACGAGATAGCCGACTCTCAGTACACCTCAGAGAGAACCGAGTATCTGGATGAAGACTATGGTGAGATCATCTCTCTGAATTCTTGCTCACAGAAAACATAAGTGCAAATTTTGATAAATGACATGGGTGACAATGTGTACAGTACTAAAAAAGCAGTGCGACGTGATTCTAAACTTCAATACATTGACATTTATTGAATATGGCATAACGTTTGTCCTGTAATTTAATCGTAAATACTACTTTCATTCTGTTAGATGCACTACTGTACGGCAGAATTGATTCATTTAAATTAGGCAGAAGACTATATTTTTCTGTTTTCTCTTTCCCAGTTGTTCTGTGTGTTCATTGACTAATGCTGTTGTCCTAATTCCAGACTTCTTTTTTGCAGATTACCCACCCGGCTACATGCCGTCAGAGGACAAGGCATCAAAGAATCTGCTGGGCTCTGCCACAAGTATGTCCTGTTCCTCCATATTCTCCTAGTACTTTTGATTTCATGAATATATATATATATATCAATAGGTGTCCACATATAATGATTCAGTGAATCAGTGGTTCTCAGCTGGTTTGGCCATGGGACCCATATTTTCCCATGGTCATTAAACTAAGCTAATTTATTTCTCAAAAATGGTTGACAGACACAAATACTGTCCCACTTTACTTAACATACACCCAAATTGTATGACGATAGTGTTACTTTTGTATCATTGTATCGCTAACACTGATGAATAATGGTAAGGCTATTAAATAGCAGTCCCAAACTAGTTTTTCTTAATACTATATAGTTAGTAAGTTGGTATGAGCCACCAGAGTCATCAAAAATAGTTACATAATACTAACATGAACTGTTAATAAAACATATGGACACTAATCCTGATGAACAGATTGAACATCATACCTGCATAAGAAACCTTCCCAGCTAACACAATGTACCAGTTGTGTAATTTATTGGTACTCTTTGATAATTTAATGACTTACTAATTGACAATGCAACTACGACATTGCATGCTCTTAAATTCATTATCTCTTTATAGTGAAGTGATATACAGCGCGCGCCGCCGTACGTGCGCACAGTTGAAGATCACAGTATAATGTCTGACAGGATAGCAAAGTTCGATCTGATGTGAGGGATGTTTACGAAAGTTACGAAAAAAACCATCAGAATAATGACACTGACATATAGCCTGACAGCATGTCACCTGACCGTAGACGCTGGATCGGGGCAACATGATTTTGTCAGGGACTGCGTCTGAAAGAAGAGTCAACAGCTTTCACCCATGTCTTTCAAACTTGACTACACACTCCAAGCAGTTGAGAAACACTGATTTAAATTAACCAAAGCTGTACTATGACCAGAAGTGGTTAAAAATGTTGACATAATAATTGTTGAAACATGTGAGGATCCCACTTTCCTTACATCAATCTTAGTTGATAATTCCAGTTTACTCAAAGCTTCTAAAGCTGTTCTAACTTTAGCATTCAAGGAAATTGTATGCCCCCTGCCTCAGTTCCAAGTTCTTGTAAAACTTGTGTTTTCGATATCCATCCAAGACAGTTTGTCTTGTCAAAAATTGCTCCTCCTTTCTTACACACACACACACACACACACACACACACACACACACACACACACACACACACACACACACACACACACACACACACACACACACACACACACACACACACACACACACACACACACACACACACACACACACACTTGATGAACCAGTTTCATATAAGTTTCATGCTAAGCATGCAGCAGTATGCAAATTAAATGTTTAGATGTGAATTTTTAGAGCAAAGTTGTTAACTTAAAATATTAAAAATAAGTTTTCTTTAAATGAAAATAAGCTGAAATAAAATATGAATATTAGACAATTAGACACTTAGAAACTTAGAATTAAAACTTAGAAAATATGAAATGTTTTCTTGGCCACTAGCTAAAATAAAAAGTTTCAGTTGAAGGTCTTTTATTTGAACTGAAAATAGAAATAGAGGATAGCTAAATAGAATACTAGCTAAATAGAAAATACTAAAATCACAAAATCAAAATAATTCAAAATATGAATAAATACTGCAATAGTTTATAATAACACTAGCACATGCGATTAATTAAATGTTTTATGCGGTTAATGTTCTTATGACAGCACTCACAGCAGTAATTCGTGTGATAATTCAATGAAACATTATAATGTGTGATTTACTAAAAACTGATCTTAGATGATTCGTGCACATGCACACAGTGCTTTGCTAGTCCCTAAGCGGAGCACTCATTTATCAGTAAATATTATACACAACACAATTTATTGATAATAATAAATAAGACCAAATGACATTATAACCAAAAGAATAAATTGACATGTTCTACCTCACAATAAACATACTGACATGTAGACTTCCTACTTCCCCAATAATTAAAAAGTTCATCACCTTTGACCAATTATCATTCGATTTTAAGAGCTTTATTTTGCTTTTCTGAATGCAGAAATTCAGTTTGTGTGCTGCCACTGTCTGAAATTTACCCCAGTTGCATACATATAAATGTTATATTTTTAGTTATTTTTCTCTGGATTGGTTTTCTTTTCAGATGCCATCCTGAACATGGTAAACAACATTGCAGCAAATGTGCTAGGAGGGAAACCAGAGCTGGAGGACGGAGCTGAAATGGAAGGTACGGCCCTGATCTCTGCATTTACGCTTGGCTATTAAAAATGCCCTGTCCTGAGTGTGTCGGGAGAAATTACTGCACTTATTTGCTCCTCTTTGCTCGGCAGCTGTTTGTGACTGGTGAGGGCTGTCACCATGCCAACAGTGCTGAAACTGTGAGGCCTGGCAGTGAAAGCACGTCTTTGATAGCTTCTGTAGCTGCGCTTGCCAGCATCAAACTCTCCCAGGGTGTGTGTGTGCGTGCCCAGAGAGAGCTGCTACAAAATGCTGTTCAAACACGCTTGTGGCTTTCCTAAATGCAGTGAAGTTTAAAAACACTATGCTGCGCCGCTGTATCATGACCATAAACCGTCTAAAAGAGAAAAGACTGTTTAACAAGATATTTTTACAATGTCCCTTGAGAGATTGCAGTCGAGTGGATGGCTGAAAGTTTATACTAAGTTTGTAAAAGGAAAGCCTGCTATGGGCTGTTTTCTTTTACTGTTACATTGTGCTTGAGTTTTTTAAAAAGCCAATACCAATATCTAGACCATAGAGTGGTCGATAGCCAATATAATACATAATACAATTTATTGATAGCAGCAAATAATGACCAAATTTATACCAATAAAATGAATGGACCTTTACTTACAAATACCGGCAGGTTTAATCTTTTCAGAAAAACTTCCCTGAATATTTTGGCATCCATGTGCATCGCAACCATTATAATTTAGAACTTTCTGGTCAGTGATCCTCATGTTATAAGAGCTTTGTTTTGCTTGCCTGCATTGCAGCACACACACAAAAATGTTTTCAGCTACATAAAACAACTTAATCTAAATAGGATTGGCATCCACTTAACTGGCTTTCAGCAAATTCGTTATAACTACTGGGCGAATATTACGTCACCTAATTAATATTCACGAGCCAGGCTAGATGGTTTCGGCACCCTTTGTGGCATATGTCAGAGTTGTTGTTTTTTTGTATTTATAAACTTGCATGTTAGAAAGTAACTTAATGTGTTTTACACAAATTTTCAAGATAAGGTAATCTTCCTAATTCTTTATAAGGATTATGACATGTGACAAGAATTCATAAAATGCCTGTTATTCCAAAGCTGTCTCTGCCATGTTATCTTTTAGATGTCCTTGTTGTTCTGGATACGTTTAATCCATGCCAAGCATTATATAATTTCAAGCTCTCCTAGATCATCACCTGTTTTTAGTTTAGGGGACATTTGTATTTGTGTGTTCAATCTTGGGTACTTTTCTCTGAACAATGGCCCTCTTTGTGTTGAGGTTGGGCAGTGTGGATGTGCACATTCTCCTTTTCCTTTTCTCTCTGTCAAAATCTGTTCTCTCTCTCATCTCGCTCAGGAAACGTTTCCTCTGGGACAGAAAACGTCACCCAGGAGTCAACAGAAACCACACTCACGCCAGATCCCACCCCCACTGAACAGCCCGCTACGTGAGTCTCATTCACACACGCACACTTTCTCTCTCTCTCTCTCTCTCTCTCTCTCTCTCTCTCTCTCTCTCTCTCTCTCTCTCTCTCTCTTACACACCCCCTGATCATCCAGCACATTAAAACCCCAAATGCTTGCTCAATACTGAGCCCTGAGCTAGTCAGCGTATTCCAGCACAGACTGGTTTGAACTGTTTGCACACATACCAAGTCAACCACTGAGTCCTTTTTCTAAAACAGCTCAAGCTTATAAAACCCTAATGAACTGTAGCTGCCTCATAATCAGGCCCAGACTCATTTTGCTAAATTTAATGTGGTGAATTGAGTTTGGGATACTGCAATCTTGTTGGTAGCTGAAAGCATAATCAAATTGAATTCACAGAAAAATTTAAGTTCTGTACCATTTTACTCACCCTTCCAAACCCAACTAACTCTTTTTTTTTTTTGTGAAAATCTTACTGTACTTCGCACTTTCAGGAGAGCAATAGCAATGTTTGATTAGGGTTAAAAGAATCATTTCTCAAAAGATTTTGAGTCAAATCTAGTCAGTGTTCAGTTGATCTGGTTGCAACAGCTAGCAACTCACTTGAGTAAACCTTATTAGTACCGGTACATCAGTTTTTTTATTAATATTTATAGTAATTATATTTTCAGTGAATGTGGACGAATTTCGGTCTGTTTCTCACAAGTTTATCATAGTACTTCATAATACTTGGAATAGAGTGCACAAGGTGAATAGATATCCTATATTATATTTATTGTTCTATTGCCAGTGTTACTGTAGTATTTTTATATACCTTTATATTTTAAGTTTCAATTTTAGTTTAAGTTTTAGTCTTTTTTTTTTTTTTGCTTTTGTCATTTTATTACTATTTATTTATTTTTAAATGTTTCTATATAGATTTGATTCTATATAATTTTTGTAATTGTACTAAAAATATTTTTAATTTACATTTAAAGGTGCCCTAGAATGTTTTTTATTATTATTTTATAATGTTTCCTGGGTTACCCTTATAATGTTAGTATGTTTTTTAGATAAAAAATAATCATAATTTAGAAATAAATGGCATTTTTCCTAGCCTGCTTTTAGCCTCTGATTTGAACACTCTGTTTGAAGGGGCGTGTCTGCTGTGGGATTCAGTGTAACCGCGGCCACTGCTGTGATTGGCTGACATGCTTGCATATGAAAAAGCAACTCATTACATGTGAAACTCTCTCTCGAATACTTTTACTACTGCTATTATACGTTTTTACTATAACAGCTATCGAGATTAACGAATCGTGAGATGTTTTTAAAGTATTTAGATCTATTCCCATCACATAAAATGTTGCCGTGATGAGCATTGAGCAGATGACAGTGTGTTGATCGCGAGAATGAAGATCTTATCATTGCAAAGCAGTTTCTGCTCTCTCTCTGCTTTCACCAATGCAAACACGATGATGTAAATACAGTAAGAGCTTCGTTGTGCAGTGTAACGTGCGTCATTGATTTCATATTCATAACGAGTTTGGCAAGTGTCCAGATAAACTCGCGCTGTGTGGAAAGATTGTTCTTTGATCGCTTTCTGTATATAATTTGTTCACAATTTAAATACGATTATTTTCATCCTACTAAAAGAAACGATGTGAAGCTGATATTTTAGTCACTGGCTTGACTTACTGATGCATAAACAGTATTGAACGATTTTGAGAGAAAGATTACCTGTCTGAACTTGAACAATTAGCCTACACATCAGAAAGTGTTGCTTGGTAGCTCGATCCGAGGCCAGCTCTGTATTGGCCCAAGTTGAGGAAACACTCGGTGAAATGTTTGAAAATTTCCAGAGAAAATAAAATTAACCCATTGTTTCTTCAGAGGCTCAGATGAGCATCCACACTGAGCAACTGCCATGCTTCGGCTGCGCAGTTCCGCCTGGCATTGAGGGCTGGCATTATGCAAATATTTGGAGGCGTACATATTAATGATCCCGACTATTGCGTCACAGTCGGTATTGTGTGGAGAACCGACCGTTTTTCAGGGGTGTTTTTCATAAACGTGAATTAAATGAGAACGCGAAAACAGTCCAGTTTGAGATTCACTCTATGTCATGTCCATGCACTGAACTCTTGTTATTTGACTATACCAAGGTAAATTCAATTTTGAATTATAGGTCACCTTTAAGTTTGTTTTTTCATCAAGTATTTGTTTTTCATTTCAGCTTTACTACCGAAATTGATTTTAAATAGTTTTAGTTAAAAATAACCCTGGCTTTTGCGTATTTTTACACGCTTTACAGCTTTTGTCCCCTTTCATTGCGATTCCTGGTCAATGTCATAAAATTTCTTCTTTTATGTTTCAAAGTTAGTTATGTAGTTATAATCCGGTATGACTTTCTTTCTTCTGATCAAATGATGGAATTTTTAATCTTTGGGCGAATTATTATTCCTTGAAAAAAAAAAAAAGTGTTCACTGTGCTCAGATTCTGTGTGGTTGTGCTCATAACTAAGAAACAAAATGTTGTGCAACATTGGATGAAATTTAACAAGCGATTTGAGCAAAAACATTCTGACTCTTTGTACCTCCAGGCTGGATATTCTTGAGTTGGATCCCACTCTAGTGAAGGAGGACTCAGAGGATCCTGTTCCTGATGCTCCTTCAGAACCTCCCCCCGAGGAGAGCCGTATCGTCACCCTCATCGAGGAGGATGAAGAGGTCACCCAGCCAACGGTGACCCTACTGGAGGAGGAGCAAGAGGAGGAGAAAAGACAAGAGGAGATATGGGAGACGGAGAGCACCACATATTGCGGCCACCTCTCGACTTTGTCCTGCTTGGCGTCTCTGCACGAACACTTCTACTGCTACTGTTCGGCAGCTTTAGCACTACAGCGTCAGCGTAGAGACCGCCGCCACAAAACACAGCACACACACACTGACACAGACACTCAAACTGCCCCTCAGCAGTCTCTCTCTGCCACCACCCCAACCCAAGAGCCCCCTGCGCCCTCTGAAATACTTCCAGAAGTAGAGCGGCCCTCTCAGACACAAACCGAAAGGATTTCCCCCACTGAAACAGTGTCTGATCCGCCTCAGTCCTCCAGTGGGGAATCTGCAGTGAGCGAGCAGGAGCTCCCACCTGAGACCATCATCTTGGAGCCCAGCCACACCTCCACTCTTCCCCCACATAGCTTCTCTGACACCCCCACCCAAAACATTCCCGAGTCCCTTCCTGTGGGACAGCCCGTGGACCAGCGTCCGCAGTACCTGGAAGACATCCCAGAGACCCGCGCCAGCGGGAGCATCTGCAGTAGCGTCCATTCTCCCACCTCCTCCATGCTCTCCTCCACCACCACTGAAACCAGCAGCCCAGAGACGGACCCTCCCATACTGGAGCTCCCCGTCCCCACCAAAGAGCAGACAGTTCAGCCTTTGCTTACCCACACCCGCCCCGCTGACATCCCGCCTCCTACCGAACTTCCCATCCCGCTTCCAGAGGCCTCAGATAACGGCAGGGCCACAGGGGTTGAAGACCCTCACCACAGTGCTGTGGCCTCCCAACCCGAGCTTTCCGAAGCCCTTCTGTCTCAACAAGAGGAGACGGTAGATGACATTCTGCTCCCGCACCGCACCGCCGGAGACTTTTATGCAGAGCAGCAGCATTCAGTGGAAATGGGACATGGGAATGGAAATGGGAATCAGGTGCATGGATCTAACCAGAAGGAATCGGTGTTCATGAGATTGAATAACAGAATTAAAGCACTGGAGATGAACATGTCCCTCAGCAGCAGATACCTGGAGGAGCTTAGCCAGAGGTACACACACGCGGCCAAACTTAAAATGATTATAGTGGGAAACATGTTCTTATTATTCTATTCTGCTGTCACTCAGGTATCGCAAACAGATGGAGGAGATGCAGCGGGCTTTCAACAAGACCATCATCAAACTGCAGAACACCTCCAGAATTGCAGAAGAGCAGGTCAGTCACGATCGAACATTAGCAATTTAAACTGACATTGGCAACTGGAATATACAGGGACTCCAAAAATAATTTTTATACTGTTAAATAAAATATCCTATTTTCATAGAAAAGTACCATCCAAACATTTGGGGTCTGTACGATTTTAAAATAAGTCTCTTATGTTGACCAAGGCTGCATTTATTTGATCAGAAATGCAGTAAAACCAGTAATATTGTTAAATATTAAAATGTAAAAATAACTGTTTTCTATTTGAATCTATTTTAAAATGTAATTTATTCCTGTTATGCAAAGCTGAATTTTTTAGCATCACTACTCCAGTATTCAGTGTCACTTGATCCTTCAGAAATCATTCAAATATGCTGATTTGATGCTCAAGAAACATGTATTAATATTGTCAATGTTATAAAAAGTACTCATTTCTTTAAAATAAAAATCTATTTTCTGACCCCAGACTTTTAAACTTTAGTTGGTATGTCAACATGGGAAAGAAAACCCCAAAAATTAAATAAATAAATGTGATCACAAAATATGATTATGCTTTTATTTATTATTTTCTTGTACCATCTGTTATTTATCCAACTAATTGAAACCTAATTGAAAAAAAATTTTTTGAAAAACAGACTGATTAAAGACTGTTTCAAATTAAAACAAAACATTTATGACACTTTCTGGCTCAGAAAAGAGACGCCATTTGTTTCACAATGCTACTTAGTTTAATATTTTGCACCTAGTTAAATGCCGCTGATACATTTTTAAGTTCAGATATCTTGTGGGCCCATTGTATCATTTTTTACATGTAAAACACGTGGATAACCGTTTACATCTGTATGTGTTTAGGACCAGAAACAGACCGAGTCTATACAGATGTTGCAGAGCCAGCTGGAGAATGCCACCAAGATCATGCTGAACCTGTCTGCCACCGTTGCTCAGCTACAGCGAGAGGTCTACAAACCTTATATAATCCCTTCCCCATCCAATGAGTCATATCACGGCCCACCCAGTAATGCATATCAATATTTAAAGCCTGCTGTACACTGTGTGTTGCAGGTTTCTGACAGACAGAGTTACTTGGTGTTATCTCTGATCCTGTGTCTTACGCTGGGATTGCTGCTCTGTATGCAGTGCTGCAGGAGCTCACCCAATCACAACACCAGCTCAGCCATTCCCATGAGCAACCACTACCCCAGCCCTAAGAGGTAAAACACGCACCAAATGTGTCCGAATGCAATACATAACGCAATGCAAGAGCACAATGCATTCTCAGTGTTACTGAAAGGAGTTCTCTAGAGGCCATTACTGTCGTCTCCTGTGGTCAGTTTTCTTTCACGTCAACTGCTGTTATGAGTTGATTCGAACTGATATTGCTTGGTTTTAAGATGATTTATTCGGGGACAAGAGTGGAGAATTTCTGTTGAGCAAGCTAGTTAAAGTAAAGTAAACCGTTGACAGATTTATAGCTGGCGCCATGAATAGTAGCGTATCTAGTTTAATAGCGCAGAAGTTTGAAGGTAACCCTATGTTACAATAACGCGTCAACATAAACTACCACTTAAAAGTTTTGGGTCAGTATACTTTTTTTTTTTTTTTAGAATTAAATACTTTTATGCAACAAGGGTTCATTAAATGACCATTTCTAAAGTTACAAAAGATTTCTTTTTCAAATAAATGCTGTTATTTTGAACTTTGTTCATTAAAGAATCCTGGGAAAAAAAACCTGTAGCACAGCTGTTTTCAACACTGAAACATAATAATAAATGTTTCTTGAGCAGCAAATCAGCATATTAGAATGATTTCTGAAGGATCATGTGACACTGAAAACTGGAGTATTGATGCTCTTCATTTAAAAATATTATTCCAAAATAACAGTTTTCTATTTTTTTAACTAATCAATATTAGTGTTTTTGACCGGTAATGCACATTATGGACAGAGGAACCCTGCAAGCTTGCAATGCATTGGCCAATCGTTCACGTCTATATTTGGGCACTTGCATAGTGGACCTTTGTGAATCTTTTTTTCTATTCCTCATTCTCAGGTGTTTTTCCTCATATGATGATATGAGTCTGAAAAGGAGAGTTTCTTGCCCTCTCGTTCGCTCTAAGTCATTTCAGCTGCCTACATCAGAAGGTAAGAGTCACCTTTGACGCTGAGGAGAGTTCTGATGCCAGAGCACTCTATATATTCTCTCTACTCCTCCCCTTCTCTCATGTAACGCACATTGTTTCACTCAGCTGTGGTTCTGTCTTTTTCAGCCAGACTCAATTCCACCATGTTCATTTCTCACAGCTTGAGAAGCCAAGATGATGCCCATTAACATCACGCCTTCCCACTTAACATGTGGCTTACTTTGTGTGCTCTCATTTTGTGGCTGCCGCTCTCAGAAGAATCACGTCTTTTATATTAAATACCATACCGAACACTTTACAGCTTGAACTAGTTTTGAGTCCAGCTGTCACTAGTTCCACAGTGTCTGGTGATTGTTCAATATCAGTGTGACCTATACTGGAGCGCAGTGTGATTTGTAATTTGAATGTCAGCCCAGTCATGCCTCATGTTTGGTCCTGCCAGAGGCGGCCGATCAGATACGTGCCTTAAGCAGTAAACATTTCCTTTTACAAGCCAAAAACTATGACTGTTGATTAAAAGTTTTAATTTAGTGCGATTTATTATTTATTTAAAATTGAGAAAAAAAGAACAAATTGGAGGTCAATGTATTATTTCTCAAAAAATATAAAATTATCTTCTCATATTGTTAAATACCAACATAGAGATATTTAAAACTATTGAAATGTATTGTGGAATAATAGATATAAATATCTAATTATATTTATTGAATATTTCATATATTATACGTGTGTATATACAGTACATATAGCCTTTATATTAATTTACCATGTGCAAAATTTCATTTTGTAATTAATTGATTAAAATCTGTAATCAAATGACAGCTTTATTAAGAACATTTAAGAGAAACTAATGTGATGTTTACGTTTAAAAACTGTGCAAACACTGCCAGATAAACCGAACCATACTTTAAATGGCAGAACCTTCCTATCCCTCTTGTTTCTTTTTGTTCCTGCTATTTTTCCTCTCACTTTGCTGTAGCGTGTGTGTGTGTGTGTGTGTTGGAGCATGTGAGCTCATCATTGGTTTGTGTTCATAAGGCAGAGGTTGGATATTTTTAGCACATGATGCTTTTGGCTGGCACACGTTGGACATTTGCAAGTAGTAACAACAGGAAAATGTGGTACATTTAGTGGATCATTAATTATCGCATATACAGAAATGCAAATCAAAACTTGACTTTTAAATGTGTCCAAATGACAGCATTATGCAAACGATTAATGCTGCAGCCATGGTTACCACTTGCAGACTTTGTTGGTGGTGAAACAAGTGAAATAGGATTTGACACGGCGGATTACAATTGAATAATAACAATATAAAGAACAGCGAGGAAGTACTTTGAAGTGTATGACCTGAGCTACTACTTGCAAGTGCTGTCATGCTTTGTGTTATTGTTTGCCATACCATTCCGTTAACCTGCCCCCTCTCTCCCCTGTTTAGTAGGTCCTGATGACTTGTACATTGTAGAACCTCTAAGGTTTTCTCCAGAGAAAAAGGTATGGAGTTCGTTTCGGACGCTGTGTGTTCATGACAGTAGTGGGACTGAAGCTGGGTTTCAAAACCACTCACAGCTCTTGTTTGCTCCAGTTTTACTGTTGTATTTTGAGTCTGTAAGAACCATGTTTCTTAAGAGATCCTACAGTAAATGTGAAGAGCAGTGAGTGTTTTGGAACGCAGCTTTTTCCAGTTAGTCTCTCTGACAGTCCGTGAAGTTAACCGTCTCTCTGCCGACTGAGAATTAGGGATGGGAATCATTTTCTGATTCAGATTACATTTGACTAATCTCATTCCATTGACACCAAACATGTTCCAAACTCTATACTAAACAAAAATGATGATTGATGTCACACTTTTCATGTTGTCCAATAAACATCAGTAATTGCTCTGATTACGTTTTCATGAACTTGAAGTGCCTTGGTTCATTTTGAGTTGGACATTGGACATCAGTTCATTTAGTCAATAACCACACTGAACCATTTAATAAATGAATGAGTAATTCACAACACTATTAAGGATTAGTCAAGGTTTATCTAGTTCCCTAAAGCTAAACACGAGCTCTAGTGTGGCCGGTCTGCCAGATCTGATAGTAAAGGCTTGTTTACACCAACAATAATGTTCTACATGAAAATTCAAAGTTCGGAAACATTACTATTTTAATGTTTTTGAAAGAAGTCTCTTATGCTCACCAAGGCTGGATTTATTTAAAAAAATACAGGAAACAAATGTAATATTTTGAAATATTACTACGGTTTAAAATAATGGTTTTCTATTTTAATATACTTGAAAATATCATTTATTTCTGTGATTCTAAAATCATTTATTTTTTTATAACCTGTGACACTTTTTTTCAGGATTCATTGATGAATAAAAAGTTAAAAAAGAACAGCTTTTATTTAAAATATTAACCTTTTGTGACAATATACACTACTGTTCAAAAGTTTGGGGTCAGTCATTTTTTTTTCTCTTTTTTTGAAAGAAATTAATACTTTTATTCAACAAGAATGTGTTAAATTGATAAAACGTGATATGTAAAGATTTATATTGTTAGAAAAGATTAAACATTTTAACAAATTCTGTTCTTTTTAAAGTATCACAGGTTATAAAAGAAATAAAATCCAACACTGATAATAAATCATATTAGAATGATTTCTGGAGGATCATGTGACACTGAAGACTGGAGAAATGATGTTGAACATTTTTCAACTTTACCAAATAAATTATATTTTAAAGTATATTCAAATAGAAAACCGTTATTTTAAGTTATTATATTTCACAATATTACTGTTTTTTTTCTTCTGTACTGTATGTCTGTTCAGACTGATGCAAAAAAAAAAAAAAAAAGAATGACTGCTTGTATTTAATGGAAATGAGAAATATTACCTTGGTAATATTTTTTTAAATATTTTTTTAAAAATATTTTATTTTCAGTTAACATTTATTTCAAGTAACGAAATATATATATATATATATATATATATATATATATATATATATATATATATATATATATATATATAAACATATATATATATATATATATATATATATATATATATATATATATATATATAAACATATATATATATATATATATATATATATAAATATAATTTTTTTTTTATTTTTTATTTTTTATGATAATAATCCTCTACATTGTTGCTCAGGAAATTATTTCATGAGTTCCACCAAGTTGTAGTTTTATGAAATCGTAGCGGCTCTGGTCAGGAAACCAAAAGTCTGGATCTCATTGGTTGTCCAGTTTTTTATTGCAGTGTGACATTAAAACACCTTGCTGTAAAAAATAAAACCTGCTTTGCATTGAAGACATGCAAAATTCTGTCGGTCTGAACAGATATTAACAGCCATTCATAAAAAATAAGATGTTTATTGTCTTGGTGTTAACTTCTCCACTAATGATCCCTCGTGTTCTTTGCCCTCACGAGTGTCATCACATGGTCATAGTATTGTATTACTGTGCCTTGATTTCTATTCTTAGTGTCTGTTGAAGTGTTCATCCGTGTTCAAACTCGCTCAGCACAAAGACGGTTACAGCGGCTTTAGGTGTTTAGATAGCTCTCTGGATGCATCCTTTACACTTTAAATCATCTCTCTATTTTGTGTCTTTCAGAAGAAACGCTGCAAGACAAAAGCAGGGGACCGAGTGGAGACGCTCGGGGCCTCCGTCCCCTCAGTGCCAGCTGTTAACGGTGAGCCCAGGTGCAACAGCGAATCATCTCCTTCTCCTCTTCACTTCCTGCCGTCGACGTGCAACGGCTTCACGTCCACCGCCTCATCCAGAGACTGTGCGTCAGAGGAGAGCTCCGCTTCTACGCTGTCTGAGGAGTCTTTCGGCTGCGCCCCTATGATGAACGGACTCGAGGCCGTCCTCTGCAACGGGGCGCCTCCGCCGCCCCTCCCTCCGGCCAAGAGCAAGATGGAGAAGAGGTCTCTGAAACGGCGGCGGTCCAGGAACGCGGAGCAGCAGCCGGAGGAGATGATGAACTCGCCGTTTCCTGTGACCGTCATGCCGGCGCTGGAGGAACTCATGAAGGGAAAGGACACGTTTGGAAGGACAGCTGTAACGGGACGAGTTTGAGTTTTTCACGTTGACATCTTTCCTTTTCTTATTCCATCTCACCGTCGTTTTGAGATTTTATTGTCAGTGGCGATCCTGACGCCATCTTCACTACATCCTGGTTCACAGAACTTTGGTTATGTGCCTTTTTTATCCATTCAGGATTATTTTCGTTATTCCCTTTAAGGTTTTTTTTTTTTTTTTAATTCTTCTAGGGAATATTATGACTGATAAACATTCGCAAGTATGAATGAGTCTTGACTTGATGTTCTCATCTCTCATGTAGATGTGGCGCTGCATCACCGTGACCATGTGACCTGTCAATGCCGGCGGCCCCGCATCGTTCAACCTCTTTCTTTACACTAACATGACCTCTTTCACTGTCCCTTTAACGCTCACGCTCTGCTCACTTTTCCTCCCTCGTTCGAAATGAAATTCTTGTACATGTGAGTGTGCGTGACTCTGCAGCAGTCGTTGTCTGTGGTTGGTTTGTGGGACCAGTGATGTCACATAGCACAGGGCTTCAATCCAGTGAACAGAGCTGAATGAAGAACAGATCCAGTCATTGTTAATTCTGTTTTCATTTCTTTTAGAGCCAAATTATGGCCTGTTTCTCTCAACATCTAGTGTGACCAACGAGTTCAGGCTGGGCCTGAACACACACACACACACACACACACACACACACACACACACACACAGCGTCTCATGCTCAGTATCCAGCTTTTTCAAGTACGTTTACAGCTCATTTTCTTCATGTCCAGTAGAGCCGTCATAAAAGACACGTGCAGAAATTATTATAATTTTTTTGTTTACACACTTCATATGTACACGGGAGTTTGTAGGGGACATTCTGTTATTTTTTGCGGTAATTATTTATGTATTTATTTATTTAAATGTGACCCAGGCTCTATGAGATTACGGTCATGTGACATATATCGACATACACATTGCAGTGGCCCCTCCAACCTCCATGTTAGAGCTCTCAAGATTTATTACAGATACACACAAGTGGTACGGACAACATCTTCCTGTTCTCCAGAGTTTGCGCACTCTGCCTTTTTTTTCCTTTTCTTTTGAGAAAGCTGGACTCTGATCGATTTTGACTTAAATTATTTTGTAAAATGTATTTAAATTGATTAATTTATTTTCCATCCAAAATTCTGAAATCAAATTAAATATCAGATATATCTATTCTAATGCTCATAATGTGATCATGGAGATGTCGTACATGACCCGTCTGCCTGTGATTCGCTCTTCCTCGCTGGATCTGTTCGGATGAGCTTTGAGTTTCTGGATTCCAGGTGAATCATAAGAATGCCCAAGCTCTCGTATTCGCGCAAATATTATGCATGTCCAGCAAAGCAACCCTCTGGTCTGTCCTGCCTGTCATGTACATGTAAAGATGATCTGTATGTGTGTCCAGCGTCCTCTCTACTCACACACTCCCTCTTATCACACTTTCTATGTATGTGTGTTTGCTGCTTTCATAGTTGTTTTAATGCACCCAAGAGACCATTTGACATCCCAGTGGAGTTTCTCTGTGTCACACTTGTTTGCTTTACGTGGTGTCTAAGATTGTGATTGTTTTTGTTTCATGCAGACGATCCCATCATTGACCTTTTATCAAACTGGGGTTTAGGAGAATGTGAATTCACGCCACGATTTCAATAAAAGGGAAAGATTGGGATGGCGTACGATGGACCATCTCTGTGTGATTTCCATGACACATTTTCCACTTTGAAACGTTTTACTACCTTTCTCCTTATTTTTGAGTGCTAATTGATATATGCTTGTGGATTTTGTGTTTATGTATGGATGTTTTTCCTCAACCAGTGTGTATGTTGACGAGTATTTTGAGCTGAATTGTTCCAGTATCCCAATGAGTAGAGACCCAAGCGTGTGTCTCTCCTGTGCACTTTGGAGAACTCCACATGCCTTGTTCTTTTTTCTTTTTTTTTTCTTTCTTTTTTTTACTCCACACCTTGTACAAGTGCTTTTTCGAACCAGGCTTTTCTTAGTATGGCGCCCTCTAGTGGCTAATGCCTGATTTATTTAAACGTCCGCTAAGTGGCGCCCAAATGAAATCTCATAGTCTGTGAGAACGAACTTGCACAGTATTTGATTTTTTTTTTTTTTTTTTTTTAATTGTAACTACAGCGGTGTAGTGCCATTAGAAACTGTGAATTTATAAATAAAACACTTTGCTGTCTTTATTCATTGCGTTTGGTTTTATTACTGTGTTTATTAATCCGTCACAGTATAGTTCAAATATTAAAACCCTATGATTAAAACCCATGAAAGCACCATAAAACAGTAGTCCAGTGACACAACTTGCCCACATGTTAGGAGTCTTTAAGTTCAATTACATACAAGTACAAGGCAAATATAAGGCGTTGTGGTATTAGGCTATATTAAAACGGATGATAACTAAAATATAAAATGAACATAAATGTAAAAAATAAATACTGGGATAAGAAGTAGCCTATATATTATTATGGCAGTTACATGAATTTGAAAAGCTTAAAAATATTGTTTTTATAAACTTTTTGTTTTGTGAGATCGGCAGTATATTGCAAAAGGTAATGTATGGGAAATTCATTTGAGTTGTTTTTTGTCTTATGAATATAGAACTGTGACAATAATTAAAAGATTGTTACTATCACAAACAGTATGAGGCCTATCTACTAATGACTGCATTTACAGGATAACATCTATGAATAATTTTGTATAGTATTTATTTTACTTTATTAGAAATAACGTATTTATCTGGTAATGTCCAAATGCTGTGCCAAGATATACAATGATGTTTGTGATTTTTATTCACATTTCCTAGAGATATCCATATAGCTGTCAGGAAAAGAATCAGTATTTCGTATATTTTAATTAAGTGGATATTATTTAACAGTTACATATATATTTTTTCTTTTCTTTTTTAGAAATAAAGAACATTTTTAAATCTTGATTTGTAGTAGTTGTAAATATATATATTTTTATGCAATATATTTGTATGTATAAGCCATGGCAATACAAAATAGTTCTGGTCAGCTGTTATTTATTATGTGAATTACGTGTCCTTATAGTGTTTTCTTCAAAATACTGCGTCAAAACACTTCGCTGTTGCAAAATTTCTGGTTAATATAATTTTTTCCCCGTTTTTTTCTGTTTAATATGTACATCTTTAACGGGTCAGTGGCGTCAGATGACTTTTATTTTGAAGTGTCTGGAGTAGCAGGTCGAAGCGAAGGCTTTTATTTTGAAGTGTGTTTCCGCAGCAGCAGAGGCAGGTTGATCCTTCTCAGCCCTGCCTCTCACAGGCTCGCTGACCGAACTGGAGCTTATTAAGGTAATAATAACTTCATCAAATACTCTCGAACGTGTGCTAGACGACTAGAGTAGCACTACTAAAACTCAATTAATGCATGCACGTGAATGTCACGCGTTAATTTTGATGCATGACTTAGATATTCATATAGGTGATCCATTATCAGACACACAGACAGGCCATTAGTCTATCAGATATTAAAATCATCTCCTATAAAACACTGCATGCTGCTCTTATGAGTGCTTAAAACGCTGCCTTTGACTGTTGTGCAACTGAAGATCGGAGCTGAGGAGTCTGTGAAATGGAGGTCAGGCGATAAGCCTTATATCTCCTCTCCAGCAGCACTACAGTAATCCTTCCTCAGCACTCCTCTATCAGTGCAGGACTCTTCTTCAATCACTACTTCTGCACAAGCTTTACATTCATACACGAAACACCATTTGATCCCTGCTATCTCATGTAGATATTTCAGTTTTGATTTTTCAGATTTTTACTTCTTTGAATATTTGTTTTTATTTACTGCGTATTGTTATTATTATTATTACTAGTAGTAGTGGTAGTAGTATTAGTATTATCAAGCCAACAACGAACCACACACTTTGAGTTTCTCACTGCGCAGTGGTCACTAGAAGAAGAACCCAATGAAAATGACCCTTGACCACAAGCCTGCGTAATCAAACTCAACATGGATTTTTACCAATCAAATTCATTCATCGTAAATTAAATGTTTAAAAGAAAATCTGTTTCTGTTAGTGAAACGGTTTATCCTTGTGTCTGACTCTGAATGGAATATATTACAATTACAATTTAATATTTGGAATATTTAAATATATTTTTGCAATGTTTAAGTAATAAATATTGCAAAATATTTCACTATTCCAAATAATGTAAATATTTTTCAATAATGTAAATATTTTTTGTAAATATTTTTATAAATGCATTAAAATAAATTGTGTAATAACACTTTACAATAAGGTTCGCTAGTTAACATTAGTTTACTACATTAGTTAACATGAATAATGAGCTGCACGTACAGCATTTATTAATCTTTGTTAATGTTAATTTCAACATTTACTAATACTTTATTAAAATCTTGTTATCATTAGTTAATGCGCTGTGAACTAACATGAACTAACAATAAACAGCTGTATTTTTATTAACTAACGTTAACAAAGATAACTAATACTGTAACAAATGTATTGCTCATGGTTAGTTCATGTTAGTTAATACATCAACTAATGTTACCTAATTAACCTTATTGTAAAGTGTTACAGGATATTTAAATAATCAGTTTCGAATTATTATAATTCTTGTACAATTTTCTTTTTAGCTTTTTTTTGACTGGCGATCTATAAGCCTAAGTCTGTGTATGCCAAAATGTAACCATTTTCCATCATGTTAATTTGAATCTGATCCACTGCATTGATCCTGATGTATTGATTTGATATAGGATGGCTGAACCGCCTCGGTCATGTGACTGTTTTGTATCTCTGCCTCCGGGTTCAAAAGAAGATTACGTGATATTTGGTAAGAACTCCGACCGGCCGAGAGATGAGGTGCAGGAGGTGGTGTATTACCCTGCGTCCTCACACGCTCCTGGCTCTACACTGGAGGTGAATTGACTTTTCAAGTTAATTACGTTTCATCAAAATGCATCATATTTGGTTTCAAACCCTTTGTGAATATTTCACCATTTGCAGTGTCATATTTGCCCCCCAAATATGTGATGATTTATTGAACAAAATCAAGCAATAGATGATTAACATGTGATTATCTTTTCCATATAGTGCACATACGTTTCTATCCCTCAAGTAGAGCGCACTCATGCAGTTGTGCTGAGCAGACCGGCCTGGCTCTGGGGGGCTGAGATGGGGGCTAATGAACACGGGGTGTGTATTGGGAACGAGGCGGTCTGGACCAAGGAGCCTGT